TTACTCTATATGATTTTATGTCTTTTGAAGAATCCGAGAGAATAAAGGAGAACAAGGATATGTTTATAACTATTGTTATATTAACTTTCTTATCACTCTCAGGCAGTGCTAAAGCTCAGGCTGCTGCTTAAAGCAGCTCCACATTATCTTTGCCCCACTCTGTTAAAAGCCCCTTACTTCGACCTTCATTGATCAGTTTCCCAGGTGACTAGGAGGTAGGATCCCGGTGGAAAAAAACTAGGCACTTTTTTCTTCTAGGACTTTAATTACCTGGGCCCCTACTTTAGCGATTTGGAATTCTACATCCTATCAATTAATTTCAAACACCTATAAGATTATATGGCAGCATTTAAATATGATTTTGGAAAGATACACAATGTAGATTTTATTATTCTTGCCCACTCGACTTTGGGTCTTCAGGTGGAAGTGGTGTTGACCAGCTAGGCTTATAATTTGTGTGCTTTAAAAAATTATTTACTTTTGCTATTTCCCCAATGGCCTCTTTTCTTTCTATTCATGATCTAAGTTTTGTTCAGAATGGCATCAAGGGAATGAGAAAATTACCTGTAATCTTGTTGTCTGATCTAAGATTGTCACAACAGATCACTATTCTGGGAATAGAAACATCTATAGCAGGCTCCTGGGAAGTGCTCCTAACTTTCCTTTCTCTCGGCCTCACAGTTTTCCACTTAACAGGGTCACAGCCAGAATGCTGGAAGCCTCACTACTGCCATCCCTGAGGGAGTGAGAGGGACCTCACTAGGACATTTGGAAAAAAAAAATCCCAAAGCCCAGGGAAGCCTCAGGACCAGCTTCTTGGGGTACACCAGAGGTATGACCTAGGACAACATTTTCCAAATGCATCTGACTGCAGGACTCCCCTGAAATGCATATTAAAAGGACAAACCCACCCAATCCATCCCTAAGGCAGGGCTGAACAATACCTTTCTAACAACAGATATCAAGTAATTCTTATGGTTAGGCAATTTTGGAAAACACTGACCCAGCAGAAAAGGCCCAAAGGGTTGGGAATCTAAAGACCTGATAGATTTACGACTTCACTATTGACAGTGATGGTTTCTCCATCAATTAAAAAAGGTGTGTTGAGGGGGTGAATTACAACATGTTACTTCAGCCTCTCTCAAAGGCTATCTAAGAGCTAATCAGGTTGTCTACATTAAGTTTCGCAGACTATTCAGAAATATTTACAGATGTGGCTAGGTGCCTCGAGTTTGAGTGGCAGCCTTTTCCCATCCCCCACATCCCCAGTGTGCCCAGTCCTGTGCCAAATGCAGAGAGAGGATCATAAGAAGGGAGATGAGAAGCCCATCATCTCTGAGAGGCCCGCCCCGCGTTAGTGAAGGTGGGCAGCAACACTCAAAGCTGCAGTAACTAAGCCCCTGGTGAAGCAGAGAGTGAGCTCCCCCATGAGCATGCTAGGGTAGAACAGCTGACACGCATCACCAGGTCCATGGCCACTGTCCCCAATTTCCTAATGAGTCTATGCATGGCTTAGAGAAGGAGTTCATCTACCAGGGGACACCCCCTGCCACCTGCATCCACACTCCCTCCTCCAGCACATCCCTGATTCAGTTGTGACTCACAGGCGAACAGAGCTCATGCGTCATTGCTCTGGGCTCCCTGCAGCTCACCTCTCCTGGTCCTAATCCACCTCCTTTCAGTTCAGACTTTTGAATATTGGCTTTTCAATCACTGACTGTATCTTTAAGCAGGATGATGGACAAACACACACAACACTTAAATATCAAAATATTCCCATTTAAATGTAAAAAACCTTTAAATCTCTGTGTTTATTATAATTTATCCATAGCACTATTTCATACTACATGTATAAAATCTAATTCTTTCCTGGGCATGTCTTATTCCCCTATTAAATTGCAGGGTCCCAGTGGACAGAGAGCATGTCCTATGTAGACTTACTTCGTACCCCAATAAAACCTAGGAAGGAAACTAACTCGTACAAGCACTTTCTATGCAGGACACACTATTCAAGGAAAAAGAAACAAAGGGATACATAGAGAAAAGTCAGGGGACTGAAGCGCCACATTTGCCTTGACTTGTTTATTCAACCTTATCTCCTGTGCACACACCCAGAAACAATTGCTTTTTCTCTCTACTGAAGGCCTGGAAGTCTGAATGATTTATGCAGCTCCACAGAGAACAACCTGGTCCAGATCCCCCAGGCTATTCCAGTAGCCTGCTATCTTCTTTGTATTTTTTTTAATCTTCTGTCTGTAGTTTTGTTGTCTTTGGAATTACAGGTTTCCAATTTTCATTATTCTTTCCCGTTGCTACCTTCAACCTTCACCAAAATCATACATGCCCACAGCTAAAGAAAAAAAAAAAAGCAACATTTTTGGTCTCTGTTGTTGGTGCTCTTTGGTGGTGAGAAGCCTGACACAGTGTATAAAGTGATAATAGCTACCGCAGCTACCCAATATTCTCCAAAATTGCCTGAGCAAGTTGAAATCCAAAGCTGGTGACTAAGAAATGTTTTCATCATCTTTTCCATCTGAACTGGGGCCCAAACAGACTAGACCTAGGCTTTCAGAGACCAGGGACACTAGCAAGTCTAAAACTCAGCACCAGGGTTATGGCTTGTGTCTTTCAGCCCTTGAAAGTGCCAGCACTGGGTTGAACTGTCCTCCTGATTCCTCTGGGATAGACCAAAGCAACTGTGAAGTCCTTTAGTGGGCCAATTGTCCAAGCAATGATACCAGTTCATCCCTCTGACTCTCACCCAGCTGCTTCTTTATTTCATTGCAAACATGGGACATTTTTGGAAATACCATGAAGTACAATGGATACTAGTGAAATGATACTCTGAAAATAGGGCCTAGCTCCAGTCAGGTGGCTCTGGAGAAAACCAAGGAGATGCTGAAGAACATTCTTCAGAGGTTGTCCATGGATCCACAGATACGGAATGAGCCACTGCTAGATTAGGGGATAGCGAGGTCAAGCATTTTTGTCCTCCAGTGATTTAACCCAACCATGTGTGCCACTATAAGAGCGCAGGGTGAAATGCTTTCATAAAAGCCTGTCAGATACAGTAGCGGCTGTGAGACACCTAAATGTGGATGGAGTAAGGAATTCAGGGCTGAACACTGGAAAAGAAAAGTCCGCTTTGTCCTTGAAGAGAAATGAACATATAACGTGTGTCAACTTCTCACACCTTGAGTAGGAATCAGAAATTTGGGCTGGGCTCAGCTAGGCAGTTCTTCTGTTGCTTTTGGCTGGACTCACTCATATGTCTGCAATCAGCTGAGAGTTGACAGGCTGTCAAACAGCGTAACAGGGGTAACTGGGCCCTTTTCTCTTATCATGCAGCAAGATGGTCCAGGCTCATTTACTTGGTGGTGGTTGTAAGGTTCCCAAGAGCAGCAAGAGAGGGCAAGCCCCATGCACTATAACTTTCAAGTCTTTACTTGTGTCACATTTGCTATTGGGCCATTGGCCAAATCAAATCACACGGCCAATTCCAGATTCAAGGGGTGGAAAAAAACACTGCACTTCTTGATGAGAAGGGAGGAGTTTGTGGCCATTTTTGCAATCTACACAAATTACAAAATCCAGAGAGATCTAGCTTTGGGATTTAGGCAAAATGTATCACTTAAGTAAGGGTGGGAATAGGAAGTGCTCCTTCCTGAAAAAAGCAATATCCTTCATCTCCCAAAAGCATCTACAGTGGTAGCCTAGTTAGGCCAAGAGATACATGCTCCACAACCCTGGTGTCCTGGAATAGCAGAAATGATTCATGGTAAATGAAGAACAAAACCAGAAAAGGCTGAGTGGAATTTGCAGAGGAAATGGCCCACATTTCAAATATGTTATTTTCCTCTTAAATTTGTTCTCATTCTTTTCTATTTGCATTACTGCTTTCTCTTCTTTGTCTCCCTCTTCTCTTTCATGTGTCTATTTTAAGCATTTATCAAAAGGCACCTGATGACAACCTACTCAGAGTGCAGAGGGAGGCGGGGCTCTGTGTGTGCCACCAACCTGTGGAAAGTTGAGAAGAGCCCTTAATGTCCAAGACTCAAATACTGATGTGTATAGCAGAAGGAGAAAAAGCAGTTTGTGTTCTCAGAAAGGAAAAAGAAATACCACTTAGACAGCTTTCAAAAGATATACTCTCTTTTGTTTTGTCCCAGCCACTCAAGAATTGTCATTCAGAACAGCAAATTGAAGTCATTTCTGTGATTGTCCCAGAGGTCACTGTCACTGAGCTCACCAAAGGCTTTTTGATTTTAGTGTAACAATAGTCACTGACTAGTGACGGGGAAGTGATGGGGATAAAAGGTGTATTTTGCCTTGAAGCTATCTTCCCTTGTCAGCAGAAAGCCTTCTTCAAATAGTAGTAATAAATTCTTCTGTCTCTAAACATAGCACAGGAGGTATAGAAAAGCATACTGTAGGCATAGGCAATTTCTGGAGATGAGCAGTCCAGAGCTAATTCTCTTTTAAAACTGGAAATGGAGTCCTGGTTCCATTAAGGAAGGAGGTTTAACCCTATGGGTGAGAAACTCTCTAGGTGGGAATATTCCCACATGTTGTTTTCTTGGTAAGTTTCTCAAACTAGTTAGATGGCAACAGAGATTTGAAATCAGCCTTCCTTAAAGGCTGCCTCCCATCCCTTGCCAAAGCAGAGGTCAGGAAATCTTCCAAGGTGATGGCCAGAGAAGGTCCCGGTCCTTCTGGCTCTTGGAATTGTGTCTTGTCCCCGTAGACTGCATCTTATTTCTAGTCATCCAGAGAGATGTCGAAAACATCAGACCACAAGGGACATCCTGGTGGGAAAGTCACTCTAGGGAAGAGCAGAAAGAGCCGGACATTAAACCACACGCTAGGTAAAGAAAGCAACCAACAACACGTGGTTCACTGGGCAGAGTCCACAACCTGTTCAGAGCCAGGCTCACCCTGACTCAGGATGTTTCATTAGACTTATGATGACTGATCCTAAGCCTCAACTGGTGCTAAAGCCAACATACACCTGATAGAACTTAAGTTCTATGGCCAAGGAATAACTTCCCGCCCTCTTAGGGTAACTACAATGCTTATAGCTCCACAACAGCAAGTGTGGACAGTGTACCATAAATCTGAAATCATTTGAAAGTTTCTTCCCTGTTTATGGTACTTTGGTCATTGCATTTTTCTATTTAAAGGACAAAAAAGACACTTTATTGTTTTGGAGAGGTTAGTAATAATGCCAAGATTTTTTTCTGTTCATATTCTTTCTCCCCATCCTGCACACTAAAGAAAGTATCAGCTTGGAATCACTAAAAACAAAACGGCCAGGAGGCAGGAACAGAAGCACCGGTGCTTGGAGAATGGTCTCCAAAGCATGGAGGTCAGAGGAACTCTCGCACCCCACAGCAGACACCTATGGCTGTTCCCCCATGTTTCTCTGAGGTCCAGAGCTCACATCTGGGGGCTAAGGGATGGAGTGCACTGCTCCTGGCATTTAGGGAGTAAGCAATAAAGTCTATATAAGGCCACTTATAGAAGAGACAGTGAACTGGGCAGGCACCATAGGATTTCCTTCACATATACTACTGTGCACAGTATACAGCTTATACTCAATAAAAAGTCAAAGGAGGAAAGTAGTAGTAAGTTGTCCTTTGTAAACAGCAGTGACTCCTAAACTTCTCTGTGATGTGGACTCTTGTGAATTTGATATAAGTTACCAATCCCGGCCCCAAGACAGGTTGAGGATGGGGAAGAATGCACACACGAACACGCACTGAACATCTGCGCACAGATCTCAGAAGCCCCCCAAAAGGCCTATTGTGACGATGGGGCTTAGAATCCCTGATGCTAAGTGCTTCTTAAAGCTGGTTGCTAATAATCAAATGCTCTCTGTAAAACTATCTACGCATCTCTACTTTCTGCCTTTGTTCAACTCTCCAAGGCCCCAGGCTTCCTTTCTTCACCAGGCCCTGGATAGAGGTTGAAAGAGACGCGTGCCCAACTTCCGCAGGACAAATTCCCCAAAGCAGGACGACGGGGGGCCCCCTCACCCTGGCCCCCAGGCGGCACCTCAGGGTGGGGGGGGGCTCCTGCTCTGCTCTCCTTCCTCACGGCCTCCCCAGCCCCGGCAGCTCCCCGCTCAGCCCACTTGGAGGAGGGGCACCAGACGCGGCCTCACAGTTTTCTTGGCGGGCTCCTTTTTCCTCCTCTTCTCCGAGTTGCTGTGGTAGGGCAGGTCGCGGCTGCGGTAGGACGGGCCGCGGCTCAGCTCGAGCTCGCTGTAGGGCGGCAGCGCGTCGTCGGACGCGTCCTCCTGGTCGTCCTGCGACTCGCCCGCCTTGTAGGTGCCCGGCGGCGACCAGGCGTAGTAGGAGGCGCTGCGCTGGCTGAGCTGCGCGCTCAGCTTGGACGGCGTCTCGAGGCTGCCGCCGCGGCTGGCGCCCTCGGGCCGCGGCTGCCGCTCCAGCACGCCGCTCAGGTACGAGTGGTCGTACTTGGGCGCGGTGCCCGGCGTCCGGCTCACCAGCCGCGGCAGGAGCGCGTCCTCGGCCGGCCGCCGCCGCGGGGGGCTGTAGGACCAGCCGCGGTCCGCGTCGGTCAGGGGCTCGCGGCTGCGACTGCGCTGGCCGTAATACTCCTCCAGCGAGCCGTCCTGGTAGAAGCCCCCGTGCGCCCGGGACTCGGAGCGCTCGAAGCGGCTCCCGCCCCGGGCCTCGTGGCTGTTGCCGTCGGCCCGCCGGGGCCGCTGGCCGTAGGAGTCCGCGAAGGCCGCCAGCTCGTCCATGGAGACGGCCGGCACGCCCGTGGCGAAGTTCTTCCGGGACAGCATCTCGGATTTGGAGCGCTGCTGGCTGCGGGCAGAGGAGGCATTGGTCAGGCGAGCCGGTACTGCGCATGTGCCGAACCCCCGCCGCGTGTAAGGCGGGAGCCTGAGGCTGGGTGCTGCCAGCACCCATCGCATTCTGGGGCCTCGGTCAGGAGACCTCGGTGCATGCCTCAGCTCTGCTCCTGGCCGGCTGAAATCATCCTGGGCACCTCTCACGCCTCAGAATTTCAACTGAGGGTAACCGTGTATCCCATGGGTTTGTGCGAAGGATCAAAATGGGGTTGTGTGGCTAGAAATATTTTGTGATCTATAGAGTGCTGAAACACCGTGGGGCCGCCTTCCGATCATCAGGATGTGACCTCTAGTTGACAGCCCCACATCTCACTCCACCACCCTCAAAGCCAACACAGGTGGCAATACACACAGTTGTGGCCCCAGGAGCCCCTGTAGTAAGTATATGGTAACACACAGGCCTTTTCCTCCTTTAGAACCAAGGGCCACGTTACCTCTTAGGACAGGAGGCCAGAGGGACCCGTGCAGTTGGCAAGAGAAAGGCAGTGTCTACTGTCTTTCGAGGTAAAGGACAGGAAAGTGGTAAAGGTGCTCTTCAGGGGGAAGTGGTCTCACAAAACTGAGTGCAAATCTTGGCCTTGAATACCTGTTGGCCATATCACCCTCGTACATCCCTTAGCATCTGTCAGCTTACATTTCCCCAGCTTAAAATAGGGACATTAATAGTAGCTGCCTTTTAGAGTAATGAGAATTAAATCCAACAGTGCAAAGTGTTTAGCATTTTACCTTTCACAAAACAAATGATCAACAGTGATGGAGATGATGGGTGGGATTATTTTTAGAGGTTATAGGATAAAATATATGAAAAGGGCAGAGATATGTTAAGGTTCATCAAGGGGTCTAGAGCACCCATTTCAAAAGGTCTTGAATGATTTACACATAGTGTCTCAAGTGTCCCCTTGCTTAATGAATGTGAGATGTTCAATAGCCTATGGAAAGAGATATGGCAGGATAACCCAGGATGGTAGACAGAGATGCTACTGGAGCCTCAGATCTACTCTGCCTTCCAGCTCCTGCCCTCTCATGTCCGGCACCAAATCTGCCCCTCACAGCCATCACCTGTGCCTGAAGCTCTCCCGATCCTCTTTGTTATACTCCACAGCTGAAGGCCCCCGGCTCGCCCCGCTGTTGCCACCCATGACACCTGACCAGTAGTCAGGATTGCTCTCCAAGTCTCCAGACACAGGGAACTGCTTGCTTCGCATCTGATGGTAAGACTGGCGGAAATTGCTGTCCTCCTCATGCAGGGAGCTGAGTTCTGAGATGGTGTTGTTATCTGCAGGAACAAAATCAGGCATGATAGAGCTTTCTACATGTTAAACAGTACGGGAATGGAATTCTCTTAAAGGCTGAGACCATAGGCCCTAGAAAACTCCTGCCAGAGGGCCTCAATCCTGTCCAGGGTGGGTTACAGACATTAACCAGTAATATTTGTGTTCTTAGCTCTGCAGGAACTGGCTCCAGTTGGAGGCCTGCTTGTTTACAGAGAGGGAGGCTTCCTACATGCTCTGTTCTTGGAATAGAAGAACCACTGTTATTGTTGCACCTAAGGCAGGCTTTCCAGAACTTGGTTATCTGTAGCTGGCCCCTCCTAGTACCTCATCATCCTTGCTCAAATGTTTTGTTCTTCCTGTATAATTCTGTGATGAGCTGTGATTATCCCAGGCATGTTGGGCCAAAAGGGGCAAAAAGGGAGAGAGAAGCGACAGAATCCTGCATCTTCCCTACTGTTGGCCCAGTCCCAAGATGGGCCTTCAGAGCCAGTACCACCACATGCTTTAGAGGCACCCCATTCCGGCCTTCTTGGTCTGTGCCCCTCCCCACACAGCAAGAAGTCCACAGATCAAGGGGAAATGCACAGCTAGTGTCCATATGCCCCCCTTCTAGCTCACGCTCATCCAGGAACCTGGAATATCCTGCCCGAATGGCACGAAGTCTACTTCCAGAGCCTGGGTAGACCTCTTCCCCTCCGATCCAAGTTTTCCAGGTATATGTGACCTTGGGTGGCCAGGCCAGCTGTTTGGAGGTGTGGGAAGAAAAGGGAGGTGGGCTGTACTTCTGGCCTGTGTGCCTCTATTTGTACTCTGGCCCCGCTCCAAAAATTTAAGGGGGGTTGGTCTAGTCACAGCCTCTTCATTTCTTAAGGTGGCATATGTTAGATTTTTGCAAAGGCACTTTTGAACAAAGACCAGAATCACAGTCTAGAAAGAAAAAAAAAAAACCCAACTATTTATTTATAAAACTTTGAAATGTACTGAATTTCATTGTACTTTAAAAATAAATCTAGTGAATCTATTTGCAATGTAACTGAATCCATTTGTTTTCTAAAATCCTTTCATTAGAACTTCAAAATATTATCCAAAACAATATTCACCAGGTTTAAAGCCTGGCTGTTGAGTAAGAGGTAAGCCAAGATAAGATGTGGAAAGCACAAATGTGAATCTCAGGTTCCCCCTACTTCCCCCCTTTCTATCCCCAACAGTCCTTGGAGGAGCAGGGAATTTTTGCACAAAGATGAGAAGGGCCTCCCAATGCAGTCTCCTAGTCCTGTTTCACCAGGGACACAAGGTTTACCAGGAATGACATTCTGTTTAATCATGCAGTTTTTAATTATAATTTTTAAACCTTTTCTTCCTTCTAAAGATGAGGGACTACGCTTATTTCAAGGAAAATAACTCAGATACTATTGATCAATAAAATCTAAAAATTCCTCTTTCTCATGATCCCTGTGAATCCCAGGGACCATAGAGAAGACAACTTTAAAACATACCAAGTGAGACTATGGAAAAGTAACATTGTTGGCTCACCACTTTCCTTAAGCTTCAGGTAATACTTGATCTTCTTCATTCCTCAGATAGCGAGGACTATCTATGTTTCACTGTTCACAGTGATGGACTGTCTGAATTGTATGTTACACTAACACTTTTGCCAAGTTGAACATGAACATCAACATCTCCAGCCTCACAGACACCAAATAATATAACTCTAGGACATGGGTAAGCAAACTTTTTTTGTTAAGGGCCAGAAAGTAAGTACTTCCCAGGCTTTGTGAGCCAGACTGGCACAACTATTCTGCCATTACAGCATGAAAGCAGTCATAGATGATACGTAAGTGAATTGGTATGGCTGTGTTCCAAAAACACTTTATTTACAAAAATAGGAAGTGGAACATACTTGGCTCAGAAGATACAGTTTGCTGACCCCTGCTCTAGGACTTCCCACACTAAAAACATGCTGAACACAACTCACCAGTTAACAAGAGCCAGGCAAACGAGGACCATACTGGCTAGCAAATTCATGAGTCTGGACCTCGAATTCTCAATTCGTACAGAATCTATTACTCGCCTGCCCCAACCTGAAACCATGAGATCCATCTGATGAGATTTTCAAGATTGTCCCACTTCCGTGATCTATGCCACTGTTTACTTTGCTCTTCAGGAATAAAACCTCCAAAGTAAACTAAACTATATTCCTACTTCATCTCTACACAGTAATGTCACCCTGCAGGTTCCAGGAGATCCGGGTTCCCGTTCTGGCATTGGCACTGAGCACTGCTACTGGGTATTTTCCCTCTCTACCTCACTTTCTTCCTCTGTAAAATGAAAGAGACGATTTAACAACCTCAGAATCCCTTCGGGGTCTAGCATTCAAAAGCTCTATGAGCTAGATGGCTGTAGTCTCTGAACAGAGTATGCTGCTACAGCTATAGAGCCACACACAGTTTGCTAAAAAGTTTCTTGTGTAAAGAGCACAGGACCAGGAATCAGAAGAACTGGGTTCTAGTCCTGATTGTGGCTTTTGTTTCCTCATCTGCACACTGCAAAGACTGACCTAGGCCGTCTCTAAGGTACCCTTCGACTCTAAGATTCTATTACCTTATGACCAGCCAGCCCCTGGAGACCATTTTAATCAAGGTAGGTAGACAGGAGACATCACCTATACCAGAATCCATCCTTCAGTTTTAACCTTAGTCGCCAACTTTTTCTCTGATTCACGGAGTTCCTGCACAGGCTTCTTTCCTTGATCCCTGACTCACTCTGTCTCTGGCCCCTTACAGGGATCCATGACAACACTGTTACAACTAGCTTGTCAAGTGCAGTGACATCTGCATTCCTGACATTCCAATCTGGAGATGGTCTTTTTATAGCCAGTGTGGTGGGAGGATACAGCAATGGATACAACGCAGACAGGATGAATTTAGAATTGCAAACTGGGTGGAATATGTTGTCCTTAATCTGAATAAAGCTCCTCTAGTCTGGGACTGTTTCCCCAACAATTCCATCAAGTCTCTTGTTGGTTCCAAGAAGAGGAGAGTTCAAAGAGAGAGCGTAGTGACCTCACTACCATGCCTGCCAGCACCCTCTCATAATTAGCCTGTCCATGTCAGACCTGCCCTGTGTTGCCTCCGGTGATAGACGGTAATTTGGAATCCACCCCAAGAATCAGCTGCGTCAGCTACAAAGTCTCCAAGGACTGGGGGTGAGTTAAGTGTTGGGGCCTTGCCACCTACAGACTTAGTAATTAAAAAGTTCTTTTGAGAAGAGGAGCTGCCTCTTTGCTTTCCCTTAATCTTTGCTGTTGGGCATCTCAGAGGAATGCCAGCCTCTTTGCCCAGATTGATTTCCCAGACTTGTTCTTTCACTTTCATTGAGGCCTCCATGCAGCACGTTGGCAGCTCGATTGTTCAATGCTAGGTAGGGCCCTACATGTTGGGAAAAACTGATACTCAAACTTCCACATTTTAAGTCATTGTTTTGAATGTATTTTAAAGGGAATAGTAGGAAAAGACTTTTAATAAAGTATTCCAAACTCCAGGATTACAAAGCCCCAGCAATACTGATTGCCACATGGAGTGACACAACATAAACCAAGGTGGTACACGATTGCTCTTCACACCATGAGCCACTTTCTTCAGTAGTGTCACCGGCACCCTGCTAGTTCTGACCCTACAAACTCAGAGCTGCCCAAGTTTGGAAACCTCCAAATCCCCTTTAGCTACTAACTCTTGCATGATGCACAGATCACATAAAACCAACAGATGCTCACATCTGCCTCTCATCCTTCTGGCTGGATCAAACTGAGCCAGCTCCTTCTCGACGTAGTACAGGACCTTCATGGAGTCTCTCTCTTTGTCAGCTTGGATCCGGTAACCTTTGCGAACTGTTGAGAAAAGTACAAGAAGGTGAGCTGAAAAAGTAAAATATCAAGAGAAAGAGGCCTCCATTCATTTTACCAAGTAGAAATCATGGTTCCCAATTATAACAACTCTTCTTGAAATCACCTAGAAATAATAATCTATATGTATACATACGTGACCATAGCTAAGATCCCCTTTATTAGATGGTGCCACTGGAATGAAGGATCTAAAGGTCAACAACAAAATTCCACTGCAGTACATTTTTAGTCATTTGTTAACCTCTGCTTCCTATCTTCTGACCTCTACGGTTCCACTGAAAGCTCATCTTCTCAAAGCTTTTGAGTTCCACTGGAGGAGAATACTCACACTAAGAAAAGACCACGTTCTAGATTGAGGACACATGTCACTCTACAGTCTGAGGATCACATCTTCATTCTGTCGGAGCAGAGGTAGCTTTAAAGCAGACACTCGAACATCAGGGACTTTGACAAAGGTGGCCTGAAAGCCTCTAGTTCCCTGGGAGGTAGTGCAAACATTCCTTAAACTGAGTGGTACATAAAAGCTAATATTAGATTTGAGACCATATACACATTAGTACAAAACATAATGCAAAATATGTGGATTTTTAATCATGGTCCCATTTTATTTCTTTAGTATTTTCCTTTTAGGAAAAGGAATACTGTATTTCAGACATAATTAATTCAACCTGCTGCTATGTGGTTACAAGCAGGTGTTATTTTCAGAGCTTAATGAAAAAAACAAAACTGAAGCAGGAGAGATAATACCATCTCCTACCTACCCATCACTCATATTGTCAGGGACAAAGGCTGTTTAAGCCCCATGTCACTTAAGTATCAGTCTAGCCCAATACCAGCCCCAAGGGTGACCAGACACCAGCAGGCCACAGGCACAGGGAAGAGAAAGAAAAAAACAAAAAGAGAGAAGGGAATGGTGGGATGCCGATAGAACAGTAACAGTAATTAGACAACACTGGGCACTGAAAATGTGCCAGGAACTGTGCTAAATGCTTTACATGGACATCTGTTCCTCACAACCACTTAAAGAAATGTTATTAGCTGCATTTCATGGTTGAGAAAACTTTGGCTCAGAGGGGTTTCATAACTTGTCCAGGAATAATTTGGCAGTGCCAGGGCTGGAACCGTGTAGTCTGATGGACGCTTAGCTGTATTAGGGCATCTTGCCTCTCTGGAGTCTAGGAGGAGAGGCAGTAAGAAGAGGGAGGTGAGGAAGACAAAGAAGTACAGCCCGGAGTAGGAAATGCTCTCAGGGGTGCCATGGGTGCATGGTCTGCAGCATGGCTCTATCTTCCAATGGGGCAGGACTGCACAATGGGATGTAAGCTGGTGACCTAACCCTACCATTTCCTGTTCCCAAAGTGGGGCAAATACATGACTGCAAGTGCCTCCAGAGAAAACCCTGCTTTATAGTCTCTGGCCATGTTACCCTGGCTGTGGACAAAGCCCTCCTACACAAGCTATTTACATGGAAGACTGAAATATAAAATTCCACAGCACTCTAATCACAGCCCAAGCACTGAAGACAGAGAAGTCGCCCACACACCCATTTGCAGGTGCACTGATTTTCTATATGAGAACATACTGGGCAGTCCACATTCATCTCAGATTGTGGAATTACTTAGAAAAAAATTAACGAATCCCAGCACATGCTTTTTAGTGGCACCTTCTCCCAGAGGTTAGGTCCATAATCCTTGCATGGAAGCAATTATTAGCAGAAATGATTTTATTTATTGAGCTACACATTCTTCCATGTCTGCAGAGGCGTTTCCAGAGTAGTACAGACAGTTCAATTAAATTGCAATTATCCCCCGGAACTGCTATGTCTGTTCTGGAGGCAGTTATGTCTGATGGATGAGGGCTGGGAGGTAGGGAACGAGGCATCCTGTAGGCATGCTACTGCTGGCTTATTAAGGGACCTCAAATGATGACCTGCTACCTAGGACTCAGTTTTCATGTCTATAAAATGCAACTAATACTTCCCAACTTCAAATAATCTCTTAAAGAAGAGAGGACAACTAAGACCGAATCAGTGGAGCACGTTGAATTCTTTCTAAGTATCAGGACCAGCTCAAATGCTGCCTCATTCAAAGGGTTTTCTTTGATTCTCATAGCTAGAAACGTTCTGTGTTTGTCTCTCTAACTTACAAATCATTTTCAAATTTTTATTATGGCCCTTATTATAGTTTGTTTCAAGTTATTTGTATAAATATTGAATCTTCTCAAAGATTCTCGAAGGAAAAGAATCCTTATCACTCTGGATCTCCATGGCCTAGAACTGTGTTTTACACAGTGGGCACTTGATAAATGTTTGTGGAATTGCAGGCAGCCTGAGATGGGGGCAGGCTTAATAGTTTCTTTGAAAAGTGTATTTTCAGTAGAGCATCCTTCTCTAGACTGTAAACTTCCCGAGGACAAGGACTAGGTCTCTCTGTTCACTTCTGTATCCCCAGCACACAGCATAGAGCCTGGCACATTGTAGACACTCAAAACATGTGTGTTTACATAAATGAATGAGTGAATGAGGAGAAATTGGGAATACAAACTGTATTACGAGAGATTATGAAGGATGGCAGATGTAGCTATGTAGGTGGTTTATTGGAGAATTTTGACCAGGCAGGGAAAAGCATGAAAAGTAGCCTGAGGAAAGCAGCAAGGTTTAAGTAAGTATTGTATTAGTATTATTGATGATTTTTTTTAAGTACAGAAAACTAGCATCTTTGTAGGTATTAAGGAAGGGGCCTCGTCTACCTGCAGCTGTGGCTTTATCTAGGTGTTCTAGTGTACGGTATACATTCAGTAATACTGAGGTAAAGTCATGGGGGCTGGGGCTGTTGCTATAGGGAACAATGTGCCAGCTGTCCCCTGGCAGTGAGAGATGGCTGCTGCCCTGAGCAACAGCTGGAGGATCCTCAGTTAATTGCAACTTGGACTAGAGCTTAGATTGTTGTCTGTGTCATTATAACAAATTACACTCCTCATTATGATACAGATTTGATTGTGTATGCATAGGTTATGATGTCCTTGAAAAGTTACAGTAACCATTTATAGCTTCAAATGAAGATAATAGTTTTGCCTTCAATACTGGCATTCTAAAGAGACTCCACTGTACAAAATACTTTCAGCTTTGACGTCTCAGAAATCTAAATTCCTCCAGTTTTTTTAAAAAAGACAGAGGCAAAGTATTGATCTTTAGACTTTAGGGGCAGCATCTATTTGGTTTCAGTAGCTAAAAATTTAGGCAATTATCCCTTTAAAAGGTATTGCGTTTTTTAAAAATGGTAAGCTACAAGTTTGTGCAGCACACTAAACTATTCTCTCATCCTAGTAGAATCTGGCTCTATGTCACATATATGCTCAGGAGCATATGAAACACCAGAAAACCTTTCTTGATCCCTCTTCTCCAAGGGTGAGATTTTCCTTTCTGAGCCAGTATCATGGAAGAATCTTATCATATATTGCCTTGTATTACTTACTCATTTTATTTCCATTCACCATCCCTTAGCAACTACCCTGCTAGACTGTAAATTCCTTGAGGACAGGGAAAATTTGTAGGCATTCATTAAATTTTTCTTGATTTGAAAGCAAATAGAATGGTGTCAGATTGATTTTCATCTGTAATTTGTCTGAAGATCAGAGAACTCTCTGACGTACGGTGATGTTTTAATGGGAAATGTCCTAGACTATTGGCCAAAGTCCAGCATATTTGGAAAATGGCTTCTTCCCTGGTGATGTTTCAGTTTAGGGTCGATGGATGATTTATTTCTGTTTTCGAGTTTAGTCTGGTCCAAGTCCTTTGGTTGGTGTGGCTCTTCACACTTCAGCTCCTCTAATTTATTAGCCTTGCCAACTTTGATTTTACTGAAGAGGGGATATTGGGATATTCACTTTGATGCCAAACTGTAATTTCAAAAAGTCTTACTGTTAAAGGATTTGAGGTGATACTTCTGACCCAATTAAGGCTCAGCTATTTTTCAGCTAAGTTCCCCTTTATAGCCAAAATTCAACTTGTAAAACTTGCAAAAAAGAAGTCTCTAGGCAGATACCCATGTATATAGCCTTGTTCTTCCTGTCCTATCTTAATGAGCTAAGTAAGGCTGTTTATGGATGATGGAACAGCTGCCAGATTCCACCCCCCAGGTGACAGCAGCTCAGTTGTGGGAGAAGTGATTCTTAAAATTTGCATATTCTCTGTATACATACAGTAGGCATATATATATATAGACACACATCCTTATTAATTTTGAAAATGACATTTAAAAACCCTACTTGCTTACTCAATCCTTTTACACAAATGAGAATTCACAGGTATATGTGGAATAAAATGGATTAGAGCAAAGCAAGAGTAGACGCAGGAAGACCAGGTAGGAGATAATTGCATTAAGCAAGTTGGGAGGTGATAGCAGCGAGGACTAGGATAGTTGCTGTAGAGACAGAGGAAAGTCAACCAGTTCAAGGTTATTTTGAGGTATAATCTAAAGGACTTGGATGAGGGAATAGAGGGAGAAGGAAGAGAAAAGAATAAAGTCCCTGCTTCTGGTTTGGGCTGTGGAGGTGGACAGTGATGCCGTCCACTGAGATAAGATATATAGAAACAGGCTTGAAGTGAAGAAGCAGCAGATTAATTCAATTTCCCAGAGGCTGAGGTAGGAATGCCAGCAAGACACCCAGATGGAGATGTTCAGAAGGCAGCTAGATACACAGGACTGAGGAGCAGAAGAGAGGGTGGAGATAATTATTGGAAGACATCAGCATATAGATGACGGTGGAAGCCATGGGAGTGGATTAGATTTCCCAGGGAGAGGACGTCAGACAGAACAGGGACATCTGGAGGATGCACAGCAAAAAAACAGCCAGCATACAGAGAGATGTTAGGAAAAGTTACAGAGTCCAGTGTTGAGAAAACCAAAGAAAGATGAGTGGGTCAGGGGTGGCAAATGCTTTTGGGAAGTCAAGGGAGGTAAGGATTGAAAAGCATCCATTAGATTTTGCAAAAGGCAATCTTGGCAAGAGACGGTTTCTGGAGCAGTGAAAGTGACAGCAAGATGGAAGTTAGTTGGGGACTTGGTGAGAGCAGAGGGAATGGAGACATCAAATATTCAAAACTCTTCCAAGGAGTTTGGCTATGAAGAGGAGAAAAGGGATAGGGAAGAAATATCAGAGGACTACAGGGTTTTTTGCAAGTTGTTGCATTTTAATGGGAGAGATCAGAGCATATTTTCAATGCTGATAGAGGGGAGTCACTAAACAAGGAAAAGTTGGAGAGGTGAGGTGGGAACACAGTGGAGTGTAGGTTTTCAACAAAGAAAGGGCCTTAAAAAGCTGAAGGGATTAGATCCAGAGCAGCACAGGAGGAGACAGTCTTCTTTCATTGCAACAGAGAAGGTCTCGAGTAGCTGCCATGAAGAATGAGAGAAGGAATTAGGATGCCTCTTACTTCTCTCCCTTGCAGTAACCAACTAGCTTAGCACATCAAAGATGCCTTTTCTAACTACACAGAGTGTTCACAAGAGTATTGTGTACAAATGTAATCTGAAAAATTACTGTTGCTAGATAATTAACCTAAAATTGAAGTAGCATATAAATATAAAATAGGCTAAATTTACATTTTTATAAGTCATCATTTCTCAACACTTTTAATGTTCTTTAAACAATAATCTACATGGAACATTGGCCTAAGCCACCTTTCTTAAGAGAGAACTGCCAAACACCATCTGTACTGCCGCCCACGGGACCATGAGTGCAGAAATGTGCCAGGTGGGGATCATGAAGAACTCTCCTGACTCAGCCAGCCAGCCAGCGTTGACATGGGCCAGACTAGCTGTGGTGACACTGATTGCCATCTTTCCTCTTTTTCCTTGCTAACAGAACCCCGATTTTGTTCGCTTCCACGGTCAATAGTTGTTTAGGCCTAAGAGGTAGTCTTAATTAGTTCAAGCCAATCTGGTTTAGGAACAGGTACGGACACAATTCCTGCTGATAAAACTGTAAGAAGTCTGCTGAGTTGGGTGGCAGGGAGCTCCTGGAAAAGTTTCTTTCATTCTTGAGAAATGTGGCACAAGGAAAAGGCAGACCATTTTCTATCTCTGAATGCACCTAATACCTGAAACTACATCAGTCATCAAGAGATCATGAGTGGAGCCAGCCGAGTAGGACAGAGGATGTGCTCCTGGTGACAGAACCAAAAATGGAAAGATGCCACCTGATTCGTTCAATTAACCAACCCCAAACCACCTTACCTTGGCATTTCTTGTTATGTGAAATAACACATTTTCCTATTTTTAAAGCCACTTCTAATTACAGCTGGTTAGGATGGCAGGATGGGGCCAAAATGATTGAACTACAACAAGCAGGAACTGGAAAAAGACTGAAAACGGGAAAGAGGAAGTATTTGCTGTTTTATGAATAAGAATAGTTTTGTTATGAGAATATGTTAAATAAAAAGTAAGAGGGAAAGGATTCTGGAGGAAGGGGAGGAGAAAGAAGATTGGAAAAAAGGAAGCAGCCAATAAAGAGCGTGAGACACGCTCCATTAATGTCTCTTTTGTCCACACCATCCTTTGGGGAGAGGGACTATATTGTCTTTATCTCTCTAATTCCCTGTGTGTCCTTGATCATTAACTTTTACTTCTCAGTCTGTGACTCATTCTGTTTCAGACGTCAGAATTCTACTAATAGTTCCAGGGAGAGAAAAACACATATACCAATTACTCACTGAGGATATCTACTCCTTCCACAGTCAGGCACCAACAGTTCATTACGTGGGCTCGATACTCTTCCCCGCTGCCCCCTGGAGGCACTCCAGACACCTCCAGGGGAGAAATGTCTGTTTTACTGACCCTAGTGGCTCATCCACATCTAGGGATTTAAAAATCACCTAAATCTACAACACTTACAATGATTACCTTCACTACCCTAGAATACTATTCAAATGCCTCAGGAAAGCTATGTTTTAATGCCCCTCCACCTCCCTATCCTACCTTGTCCCTCCACTTCTACCCCATACCCCCACCAATAGCTACAAATTTATCATGCCCCAAATGGGGCTAATCTTCGTCCAAATCAGCTCTTCTCACCAATTCCTTCATTCCTGTCTATGATCTGCACCACTAGACAACTTGGGGTCATCTTGGAGCCTCCCTTTCATTCATTCCCCAACGTCTCATTGCTTCTTTCAAAGTGTCTCTCAGATTTACCCACACATTTCAACTCCCATGGTCTCCATCACAATCCAGATGCTCACGCCGGAGTCACTTCAATCACATCAAAGTTCATGGTCTCTGGCTCTACTCTCTCCCTCGTATCACTCACCCTGTCATGGTGCCACCCCTGCCCTCAGGAATCAGCCTGCTGTGGCTCTCACACCAAGCTCCAGCTCTTCTGGAGGGGTTTCAAGGCCTTCCCTGATCTGGCTCCCCCCATACCCCTCCACTTTCCTCCATCAGTCTGACAAGCTGCACACTGCCAGACACCCACACTGTGCCATCCCAGCTCTGGGACTTCCCCACACTGGCCTTCCCATTTGAGGTGCTCAGCATCCCCCACTCCACTTTCCTAAATCCTGCTCATTCCTAGGCCCAGCTCAAATCTCACCTCCTCCCTGAAGACTCTGTAATCACCCCAACTCTTTCTTCCTTGAACACCAAGTACCATACTCTTTAGTATCTAATTGTCTTAATAAAAGTCCATTCTCTCTCTCTCTGATTAGGCCACACTGTTTGTTAAAAAAAATCATGTCCTACACTGCTTGCTGATGCTCATGGTACCTAGTGCAGTCCTAAATATGAGGTAGGGACATGATAACTACTTATTAACTGAATGATCAACATTCAAGGGATACCTAGTCTCTTTTTCTTATAGTTTTAGTCATGGAGGAGCCTAGGAAGAAAGCAGGGATCAGCAATGTCACAATGTCCTACGGCCCGTGGAAAGCCTGACGTACTCCGAAAGATCTCTGACATGGCTGGAAGGATCCCACTTCTGGAATGGAGATAGCCATTTTCCAAAGACGTGTCACTGAACTGACTACACTTGTCAGCAAAGAAGTAGGCGGGAGCCCAAGACAAGCATGGGGCAAGGCAGTCTGGAACTACATTTACCACTGTGGCTTCCTCCAGTGGAGTCACTTGGTGCCAAGGGAGGTGGATGCGGCTTGTCCATCAGCATGCCAGATGAGGGGGCTCCTCCCAAAGGGACAGAGGGGATGGAGTAAGGGCCAGGGACACCGGAGACAGAGGGAGGGAACCCGGACTTTGCTGCTTTCCCTGCTTCATACACTGTGGAGGGAGATGAAGAGCAAGAGAGATTATATTGTCCCACCCACCACAAAAATCCCACTCACACCAAAAATCCCTGAGGATGCACTTAAGGGAGCTCCTGAACGTGTGTGTGTGTGTGTGTGTGTGTGTGTGTGTGTGTGTTTGTTCTCCTAGGACTGACTTGATTCAGCAGAACCACTCTCCCACACTCCCTTGGACTCCCCTCCAGCTCTACTGAAAGGCAATGACATACAGAATTACAGTGTTTAGTACCTGGCAACTGCGTAATTAAGCGGTTCTGGGAGCTGTCACAGCAGTATCCTCAGTGACAGTAGCAACCCACTCAAAACCACACTGTCTTTAGGCTGTCTCAGCCCTTCCGCAGGAGGCCTCGCACAGGGGCTGCCCAGGGCTGCTTCAGGGAGGAGCCTGAACTTCTTCCAGAGAAGGAAAGCAAGCAATGAACTTGCACACAGCCTCTGCTCTGTGACTTCAGAAGCAGAGTAGATAACCTAACTCCTCCTCAAAACTGCTTTATTCCTAAAGATACTAAAGATACTTCTTTCAAGATGTGTTTGGTTTATGGCAGGGGTGTCAAACTTCATGCCTACATGGGCTTACAGTAAGGTAAAAATTGTGACTCCCCAAATGATGACTAGTCTCTATTGTGGCCCATTTCATCATGGGAGTAAATAAAACTCATCTGTGGTTGGGTGGTACCCGAAGGCCGCAGTTTGCCCACTCTGCTTATAAAAAGAGGAGGTTCTCTGCATGGGAGGGGGATGACCAGAGAAGGTTTCCTCTAGTTTGAATGCTTTGAGGAGAGGGCACAGTCTTACCCCACAACCTCACCACCCTGAACCTGCCCTTCCATTTTGTCAGTAGTGTCAGCGAGGATTCCAAGTGCACTGGGTGACAGGCGTGGATAAAAAGCATGGAGAGGCGCATGGAGGTGAGGAGCAAGCAAGGATGGTCATCCCTGAAGCCAGCAGCTCCCAGAGGAGGAAAGAGTCTGGAAAGACCAGCTCTTTGGGTGGAAGGAAAGGAGGCGGAAGAAGAGCTCTGTCAGATGCAGAGGTGGCATTTCCTTTGATCACCCCACCTCTCCCCACTGGTCACTTTACTCACAGGCCTGAGGGCAGCAGCAGGAATCTGGGCAGCATGGGCAGCGGACGTAGCAGCAGCAGCTGTGAGGGCAGCACTGGCACCAGCAGATCCCCACCAGGACGAAGAAGAGGAAGACTCCCAGGATCACCAGGCCAACAAACACCCACTCTGGAGGGATGCACAGAGAAATCCACACTTGAGGCAGCCCCCCTTCGGGGCAGGGCACACCCTGACTGGCACCTCCCTAGTGAGAAGGGGTAAGGAGGAGGAACCTGGGGAAGACAGCGTTTCTTAACAGGGAACAGAGCCCCGAAACTGAAGAGAAACTGAGAGTGAGGAATGCAGACCTCCCTGGGGCTGGGGCATGGAGGAAAGGGAAGAAGATGATCTGCATCATATCGGGCACATGTGAAGACGAGCACAAAACAGTGGGGGCATTTCGGGATCCAGTACTGGGGAAAGGGTTTACCAAATTGACTGCGTCAGAACGAGGATGGGACAAGGGTGGAAAGGTCTTGGCTGGGAGGAGGGGAGCCTTGCCTGCTGACTATGAAGTGGTGCGTTCTGTGAATACCTGTCTTTTGTCATCAGGTTGATCTTGTCTACAAAAGTGTAAGTCCTGAGAAAAAGGTCTCTATGTCTATGTGGTCGAAATGTAGCCCATACTGAGGAGGTTCCAGGCCCCTTCTGTATTCATCACCCTTCCCTGCCGATCACTTCTGTAACATCTATCTTGTAGTCAGCACCAGTGCTGAGATCCAAACCTTCTGCTTAGACCAGGACAGCAGTCCATGGCCACAGAAAACCAGAGACACAGACTTAAAGAAGACACTGCCTCCATCCCCTGAGAATGGGTTTGGTTTGATCACACTCAAGCTGACCATGCTAGACAGTCAGCATAGCCAAGGGCTAAAATGGATAGGAGCTTTGATGAATGGCAAGGCTGATGTGTATATCTGGGTATGTTTGTCAACTTCTGCTATTTTCACCGCTCTGCCAGAAGCTGAATGTGAGTTCTACTTCATTCACGCACCCAAAAGATTAAGAGAAAGGAAAGAAATTCTGATTGGCTTAGACAAAAATGACTGCAGCCCTCAGGTGACTTGTCTCAACATCATGCTTTTAGGACCTGGCTAATAGGACCAAACTTCCCCCTGGAGGCCTGGACAGACTGAAGTGAGCTGTGCTTTCCTTTAAAAGCTAAAAAACGGAAGTGATTCATTCACTTTGGTTGAAAGCCATCCACCAAAAACCCCTTTACAATGAACCTCATTTACACATTGTTTTTCTTAAATTTTGATCATTAAATTCCTTCAATTAAATGGACATTTAGTTGGGAGCTTGAAAATATGACATTTTTCTTATATGAAGGGTTCTGTGATAATAGTAAAATTATTTGATTTTGGTGAAAATGAAAGTGGTAAAAAAATTTGACTTTGTCTAGAACATAATTTCCTTAGAAAACAAACAACTTTTATTTCCTGAATGTCCCTCTTCACTTATCCATCTGAGATATATTAAAATTAACAAGGTCAACCTCTCTTCAGTGAGGGAATGAGAAGGGCTTGTGACTGGCTACAAGGGTCTGCAGAGCATTCATGCCAAGGACGTCAGACATCAGAAGCCTTTGGCAGAGGCTGCAGCAAGAGCACAGTAATGTAATGCAGCTGAGACAGACGCAAGCCCTGAGGTTTAGATAAACTGTATGGACTGGTGGCTACAACTTGGGTCAGGGAGTCAAGGATTAAAGACTGGCAAATTATATTTGAGAAACAAAAGAATATTATCTGCGAAAGGATTCTTGGAGTCAAAAGGGAGGGAAATTTGGGCGTAGAGGGCCAGATACGAAAAATACAGTAACGCTTTCTTGGGACTGGAAGATTAGCATCTAGTTTGAAGCATTATAATGTAACATTGTTTTTTTGTGATGAACAAATGCTTACAAATTGAGGGAACTTTAGATAGTTTCTCAAAGAGGTATCTATTTGTGCCCTTGGGAGCAACATCAATAAGAATGTCTACTTAGGTTGGCCAGCTAGTGGGAAAGGACTAGAAGAATTCATGGAAGAATAACTAGTGAAGCTCAACTGTGAAGACTCTGGATGTTTTTTAAAACTTGAATTTAGCCAAAACCAATGGCCAAGAATATTGTGTATCTCTCCGTGGCTATTAGGCAGCTCTTAAAACTTTGGCAGAAACCCTCCGAAGCAAGACTGAATCATACCCTTTCCTGTTCCTTGAGTTTGGATATGTCCTTCCCCTCAGTTCATTCCTGTTTCTCTCTGAGCCTCCTTTACTTAGGGACTACAGAGCTGCACCAAACCGATGCGGGCTGGTCTAGGCTGGGATGTTCAACTGAAGCTATATAAAAAGACAGAGATGTGTATTGGAGGCAGGGGTCCTTGACCTGTGGCCCGTGGACCCCTAGGGACTTAAGGCAACTAATAAGCCCCCAAAATTGTCTATAAAATAATAAAGGTCTCTAAATGTGTATTTTTCAAGTGAGAAGGAGTACATAGCTTTCCTAAGGTTTGAAAAAAAATTGATAATGTTATGAAAGGCAATTCAGAGTAACATGGTTGCACAATAATGAATGGGTAAACATATAACTTAGGAAATAAAGAATGCAGATAAATAGTTATTCTGTTAAGAATACTTATAGCTATCGGGGTACAGGTGAGATACTAAAATGGGCACAGAGATTGCCAAAGAGCCTGCACAGCTGACAATGAAGGACTAGGTTCCCATCTCTGCCTGTTTTTAATTTTCATTATTCTTTTAGGACCTAGTAACAGAAGGAATGCAATTTAAAGGCTCTTTTAATGGGCTTAGTTCATCCTGGAAAAGATCACAGATATATATAGACAAATGTGCAAATAAATTAAAGGAGTAATTAGTGACTAATGCAGAAGCAAGGCAGATGGAGTCATAGCAAATTAAGCAAATAAAGAGTTAAATGACTGAATACCTGGCATAATCTCCACAGCAAAACTGGGCAAGAGCTCAGCAAGCAGCCCTGTCCTGCCTAGAAGAAGTGGAAGGAAAAGAAGAAGGAAAGCGGTTAATCCAAAGGAAAACACAGCCTGAAGCCTGGCTCCAGTTGACATCATCCCTACATGGGGCCATTGGTCCATGGCCTTTGTGGTATGAGAGGTACATCCCCAGAGCTGGGCTCAGTCAAGAGAATGACCTTGTCCATCAATCTCTGGGAGCCATCTAAGTGAATGCTGCACCTAAACTAGGCAGAAGCAGAAACAGAACTTTCTCTTCAACTATTTATAGGAGGAGGAAATCTCTGCTTCAATATGAAAAACTCTGCATGAACAGATTGACATACACCATCCCCATTCATTTATATGTGCTCTCCATACACTTCATTGAAAAGCCAAACTTGTCTGGATCTAAATGTTCAATCTACATTTTCATACATTCATACACAGTCCTATGTCCATATAAAAACAAAAGTACATATTTGGTTTTAACTCAGAATTATCTCACTACATGATTCTATTTATGGCCTAAAGATATTTCAATGATTAAAATTTTCAAAGGCAAGGAAAAGATAAAGCTAGATCCGTTACACACTCCTCTACATTCCTTCTGGCTTGAGAAATACTCTGTACATATGTATATGGTATGGCTTTTCCATATGGCACCCACAGCTGGCGTTGTATGGACCCAAGTGCCTTCTGTATGATATGGCACAGAAGCTTAAAAGCTGGTGTCAGAACAGGTGCCCCTCAGGGGTGCTGGGAGGCAAAGAGCTGTACAGGAAACAAGATGCTGGGAGATGTGAGGGAGGAAATTATTCCTTTTAAAAACTAGGCTGATTTATGAAAGGATGTCCTGAATGCTTCCACCATGTTCTCATATCAAGGTAAACATTCTATGATGAACTTCGGCCCCTGTATCAGGTATCTCTACCACACTGCAGCCTTCTGGATAAACTAGTAGGTTGCACTAGGAAACAACTAGCAAACTTCCCTCCTTTCAGGCTTGTGATGGTAAAAAGCCACTGTGGCACCTAAGCACAAAACTAAATTCTACTTCAAGTAGATACATGACGGACGCCTCTAGAACAGCACTGACCAATAGAAATACAATGTAAGCAACATGGGTATTTTTAGCTTTTCTAGTAATTATATTAAAAAGTCAAAATAAACAGATGAAATTAATGTAATACCATTTTTAACTTATATGAGTATCACCAAAATATTATCATTTTAAGGGCTCAGTAGCCACGTTGTTACTGGACAGCACAGCTCTAGTGGTCTGTGTCGTGCATATAGATTTGGCTTGTTTAGAAAACAACTTTTTCCTCTCAAAGTTTGTCGAGGTGCATTAGAGAAAAGGTTACCCAAATGTACGGTGCATATTTTGAGTCTAAAGGTCATTGTTGGTCACTGGTCCCTTGCTCTGACAAAGGTCAAAGGAAAGAGGCTCCTCCAGGACACGAGAGCAGGACACTGTAGCTGGGGCAAGGTGTTACTGAGTGGGGCAAAAGGGGTCTTCCCTCATTTCATTTTTTTTTTTTTTTGATCTTCCTCAACTCTATGAGGTCAGTGTGGTAACATGTATCCTGGTCTATGTGGGTGATGGGCCCATGTTTAAAAAGTTAATTGGGACTAGAGTGTATTCCAAAGGAAAGGAAGTATGGGGTGAGAGGCTTAGGCCAACTCTGCTTTTGGCTTTAGCAAAAAGGGCTTCCTTTTCTCTGTTTTCTGTCCTGTGCAGTTTTTGACAGGGTGAGATGGCTCTGTTGCTCGCAAGGTCCCTCGGAAGGACAAGTGGGAGGCATGTGGGGCACAGGAAAAAGGTGTCTTCTTAGGCTAACCTTTGATCTAAGCCTTCACCAAAGGTTAAGAGGGGCCCCCGAAGGCTTACACGGTTCCCTCAGGTAGGACACTAGATAGGGATTTGGGGCCAAAGTTTGAGCAAGTGATTAAGTACGTGCACTGGTCTCATCTGGAGTGTTCTCTGTACAAATATCTCTTAGAAACTCAATAAAGCAATGAACAGATGGTCAAAGATTTGGGAATTTGGGATCCTGGACATCTCTTGAAGACCAGGCAATAACCAATGATCAACAAGTCAATATGGAGTAGTTTGTTTTGGTTTTTTTAGCAAGCCAGTTATCAGCTACTTACTTAATGGTAGACTTTTACTGGTTTTTTTCCCCCAATCTGGACAATTGGCACATCTAAATACATCTCTTGTATTAGTAAAATAAGAAGCTTTGCTTGTGTTTACTCTCTAGTTTTCAAGCCTACCAATGTTTTAAACATCTCTGGATGTGCTACAGTCCAAATCATTACTCAGATGCATAATAGAAATGTCATTTATGATATAAGCTACCAATTTGTGAGCTCTCATGGGAAATTAGCTATGTGGTAATTATAAACTATAAAAAAAATCCATACATTCAAGGAGAATATAGTCCTCATCCTTATTATATAGAGCATTTTAATGCTAGAAAAAGCAATGGACTGGGAGTCAGAGTGCTTAGGGCAGCTTTGTCATTAACTCATTTGGTGACTCCTACAGGCAAATTACTGTCCCTTTCTAGGTATTAGTTTTCTCATTAGTAAAATGAAGGGGTTGACTGAAGTGGTCTATAAATAGGAAGACCATATATCTTGGTTTGTCTGGGACAGTCCTAGTTTATGCCTACGGTCCTAGCGTCATTGTTAATAGCACCCCTTTTTACTCTTAGGGTGTCCTAGTTTGAACAATTAATTATATGGTCATCCCATCTATATCATTTTTAGTTCTCAAATCTGATACTCAGTGATTGGAGTTGCAAACTCAAATGTCTGTAGAGGCCAGTAGGTAATGCAAATAATACAACACGGGGTGACTGGGGGTGTGGCAGATGGCAGATCAGGTATCTTCAGGGGGCTGCTGCTACTCACCTCTAACCACTTGCCTGTGTCTTCAGGGTTACAGGTCATCCTATTTGTCAAGATTCGCCAGATCCCAGACTTTATGTGAAATATCCTAATTTCCAAATGTTGGCAATCAATTAACATACATATATTTTTCATTTTTGTAAACCCTTTTACCTGCACACTGACCAATTAATATATTTTTAAAGCACTAGACAAGCCATAAAAATATGTCTTTGGGTTGTATAGAGCCCAGAGATCATGAGTTTGCAACCTCTGAAGGGTATATATACACACAGATGTATTTATGGGAGGATAAAACACAAAAGCTGGATTTCCCCATAGGCTGTTTAGGTTACCTTAATGGCGTTCTAACACTGCTTCCACACACAGAATGATAGTGAATATAAGCTCTAGCCACCTATGTTAAAATTAAAATTTGAAAGCAACAGTATTACAATACAAATAGCCCCTCTTGTTTCTGGGGAGCTAGAATGGGTATCATGAAAGAACAATGAAGGGATTTTCATTTTTTACCTTAGACTTTTTTACTTTTGTAATTGAAAAAAATTAAAACAAGGAGAGGGTGTTATCAGAAAAATGGACAGAAGATTCACAAAGCTTGTCACTCCAACAGGAAGACATAGATCAAGCTTCTCCTTGGCCCTGAAGCAACAGTCAATAGCTAATACTTCAGAAGAAGATGAAGGCTTCCCACCATGCACCTGTGTAGTGGTAGTCCCACAGTAATGTGAATGACAGAGTCATGCAGTAAAGTAGGTAAAATTCAGTGTCTTCAGAATTCAGAACATAGTAGGAATTTTGGGAGAGCAGACAGTTCCAACATATTGATTGTGTCAACAGTAGAGAGAGTGCAAAGCTCTCTCTGGCTTTTATACCATGACTTACATTTTATTGGAACTAAGGTATCTTAAAAAATGGATTTATGGTGGAATCTTATATTTCTGAAAGTCATTTTGCTTCCAGCTTCTTCCCTAACAATTTCTAAGAAATGCTATCACCAGTTAGAAATGCTTTATCTTTTCTTCTTCTCTGAAGGTCTGATCTTAGAGCATCTAAACAATTGCAGTAAATACATTCCAGATTTCATCGGCACTTTACCAACACTCGTGAATCACTGTCATTCTTGCAGGATGCAGTTTAAGAGTGGCAATTACAATTCACTTTAATGTCTGAGGAAAGGATGGAAAGCAGGCCCTGCAAATAGAAGGCCACATTTACTCCTTTTCAAACCATAGCTCAAACTATCAGTGGAAAATACAGTTTTCATGTAAGCACTCAGTTTTTCCCAAAACTTGCAGAATCCATTACTTTTAAGAAATTTCCACATGAATAGACCAAATGAATCAGGCATACAAATAGTTTGTATATGCACACACACCGAGTGCTGGTTTCATACCACACTGTCGCAAACTCCACGGCCAAACACATTCACACACTTTGGGTTGAACGCTCGAGGCAGAAACATGCACTGTGACTAAAACAAGTTACATGTCTTACCTTGTCTATTTCAGTTGCTTTCTGCCACTGCCACTTTGAAGTTATCCCCAGCTGTACTCTTTGTACATGTTCCTGCTCACTTCTGGAATTTCTCTAATTCATTCATTCATCATTCATTCATTCAACAAACAAATGTATACTGGGCCAGGGGGAGACACAGAAAGGAACAAGACATGTTCCCTTGAGACACTGGAGAGGTTCGCGGTCTAGCCCACACAGCTTGTCCGACTGCATGAGGATGAGAACTCAGTTGTAGATATCTGCTTCTGTGTCACAAGACTTACTAAAGTAGAAAGACTTTCTTCCTGCCAAATCCGTTTTCATCAACTGTCTTTGCATTTCTGACATCAGGCTCTACCTGGCCATGGGACCTTTCCCTGGAGACGCAATCCTTGCCTGGTTTCCCACTTCTACTCACAATGCTATCTTTGCACATTTCACAACAAATCATGTCCTAGTGGCATTTCCTCAGGGTTTTTATATCCTCTTTTCTTGGTAGGTCAGCCCCCTCAAAGAAGAATTTACTTACCTTCTTTGCTAAAATAAGCACTTGAACTGCTTTGTTCAATCCCTTACCGCACACAGCACACAGTCCACAAGACTCAGATATGTTCTGGAA